CTCTCTTTATAACTGAATATATTAATCGAGCCAAATGTCTTTCTGATACTTTATGTGCTAGTTGAACTAGGTCTAGAATATTAATCGGTCGTTTCCACTATGACCAATCGGTTCGATATGGATCAACTAGGCATCGATGATGTCTTATGTATCTTACTTAGCCATGAAGCATGTCTGGAACAACATCTTACCCAACCTCTGGATACCACACCAGTAGCTAACCACACTTCCTTCAAAGGCAAGAGTTCGTCGCCCTAAGAACAGAACCAAACTTTTTCAAATAACTGAGGTAGAGGCCGCGGTCATGGTGGCGGTCATTTCAATGATAATGGAGGTAGAGGTCGTGGTCGTTCCACTATTATTTGTTAAGTTTGCAGCACTCCTGGACACGGAGCACTGAAATGTCGATGGTGGTATGATCTTAACTTTAACAATTTGCAAACTGAAGAATCTGCACCTACTGGTTATCATGGAGGCTTCTCTTCAAACTTTGATCCCACATGGTACCCCGACTTTGCTGCCACACACAATATGACGGTAGATGCAGAAAATCTACAAAATCAACCAAAATATGGTGGTTCGGGTCAGGTGAAGGTTGGCAACGGAATAGGTTTGCCAATTGCCCACATTGGTTCTTCTACTTTCTCTCTCTCTCTCATAATTCTCATTTGTTTCACTTGAATGATTTGATGCATGTTCCCATTATTTCAAAAAAAATGTTATCTCTTAGCAAGTTTACTCGTGATAATAATATATATTATGAATTTCATCGCAACTATATTGTTTTGAAGGATTAAACAGGGAGAACAGTACTGCGAGGACCAAGTAGAGACGGGCTTTACTACTTCTCGGGTAGTGTCAGCATCAAGAACACTTCTCCAACTGCTTTTTTTGGTGAATGTACTGCAGTAAATGGTTGGCATCAACGGTTGGGTCATCCTATTCTTCACGTGGTGAGGGAAGTGATATCCAAATTTGGACTACCATTCTCTGCCAGCAATGTTTCTTCTGTTTGTGAGGCGTGTTAGTTAGGTAAAAGTCATAGGTTGCATCTTTCTTCTTCCAATAATGAGTCTAGCAGTCCCTTAGAGTTAATCTATTCAGATGTTTGGGGTTCTGCCTTGATTCAATCAAATAATGGTTACATATATAATGTAATTTTCATTAATGATTATAGTAAACTTACATGGTTGTTGTTGATGCTTGCAATCTGACTGGGGAGGAGAGTATCGATGTATTTTGACCTTTCTGGCTGCTCACGGCATCACCCACTAGCTTGCTTGCCCTCACACTCATGAACAGAACGGTGCTGCTAAATGGAAACACTGCTACATCATTGAGTCTACCCTCTCTCTACTGGCTTCCTCAAATCTCCCGTATTCCTTCTGGGATGATGCTGCCTCCGCTGCTGTCTACTCAATTAATCAACTTCCTACATCATTGTTATGAGGTGTTTTTCCCTTTGCCACTCTCTTTGGCAAGGCACCCGAGTATAATCTTCTTTGCACCTTTGGTTGTTCCTACTATCCTCTTCTCCGGTTGTACAATTGCAACAAATTCTCTTATAGATCTCTTTGGTGCATATTCATCGGCTACAATGACTTCAACAAAGGATACAAATGCTTGCATCATTCTTTTGGTTGATTGTATATTTCTCATCATGTTGTGTTCGATGAGAACTCCTTCCCTAGCATATCTTCTTCCCCTCCGGTTGCTCCCACTGATTGTACCGGTGTGACTATTCATTTGTCGCCGACCTCATCTCTACTAGTATGTCGACTAGCTGATCCACTGCCTCTGTCACCATCACCAGCTCCTTCTTCTTCTCCTTTGTCGGCTACTTCGACATCATTGATTTCTCCTCCTCCACCTCATGGCACTTGTTCAATACAAGACTTACTTGATGCCACGACACCTATTCTGGCACCAGTTCCCCATCAACACAATATGATTTCTCAATCTCAGACCAGCTCACTTCTATAACGGTCCAATAATGTGTTTCAATACCCTATTTTGAGAGCAATCTTAGTCACACTTCCAAATACTGCTACTAAACCTTCCTACTTCTCTAAGGAATATAAGGATCCTTCTTGGCATGAAGTTGTTTCATGAATTCAATGCCCTTGTAGATAACAACACTTGGACGCTCGTCCCATACCAATCACACATGAATGTCATCGGCATCAAATGGGTTTACAAAGTAAAACGACAGGCTGATGGTTCTGTTGATTGCTACAAAGCTCGTCTCATTGCACAAGGGTTCAACCAAGTTCCGGATGTTGATTTCACTAACACTTTTAGTCCAGTGGTTAAATCGGTCACCATTCACACCATTCTTGCTCTTGCCATTGCTCTTGGTTGGCCCCTTCGGCATTTGGACTTTGATAATGCCTTCCTAAACAACTATGTACCAGAGGAGATCTATGTTTGTCAACCTAAGGGTTTCGTGGGTCCGACTTCTCCCTCTTATGTTTGCAAACTCAACCAAGCTCTTTATGGTCTTCAGAAGGCCCCACGTATGTGGTACTCTCGCCTCAACACTCGTCTTCCTCAGCTTGGTTTCTGCATGTTAGCAGCCAACCCCTCCTTGTTTATTTACCACAAGAGTTTAGTCGTTCTATACATGTTGGTCCATGTCAATGGCATCCTTCTCACTGGCTCCTCATCTTCTGCTCTTGAGGATTTTGTTGCCACATTTGGCCGTACCTTCTCTTTAAATGATCTTGGTCCAGCTCAGTACTTTCTTGGCATGGAGATTGCACCACAACCCCATGGCTGTGGTGTTGCACCGCACCAACTTGGCTGAAGCTAAACCTCTCACTTCTCCTATGGCTGTTACTACTAAGCTTTCTAAGTTTAGTGGTGATCCTCTTTCTGATCCTTCTGAGTATTGGAGCATTGTTGGTGCTCTTTAATATGTTACCATTACGAGGCCCGATATTTTCTTCTCTATGAACAAAGTGTGTCAGTTTCTCCATTCTCCAACAATAGAACACTGGACTGCTGTTAAGCGGAAACTTTGGTATCTTAAACATATTGTTTATCATGGTTTGCATTTTTACTCCACATCGGCTTTGCTTACTCTTCAAGCTTTCTTCGGTGCTGATTGGGCTAGCTGCCCTGATGACCGATGTTCTACTGGAGGTTATCTCATTTATTTGGGTCGGAATTTAGTTGCTTGGAGTTCTAAGAAGCAAACCACCATTGCCCAGTCTAGTAGAGTCTGGATTCCGAGCTTGTGCAAATGCTGCTACCAAGCTTCTTTGGGTATGTTCCTTGTTACATGATCTAAAATAACCTCTTGCACATACTCCTGTGATTTGGTATGACAACATTGACGCCACGTATCTTGCTACGAACCTAGTATTCCATGCTCGTATTAAACATATTGAAGTTGATTTTCACTTTTTGCAAAATCTTGTTCTCAAGTGATCTCTTTCTATTCAGTTTATTTCCTTGGTTGATCAAGTGGTGGATTTGCTCACTAAAGCACTTAGTGGAGCTCAATTTACTTCTTTTTGGTCCAAGATTCATGTCCTTCCTAGACATTTCACTTGAGAGGGCGTATTAGGGAGTTTGCATCTGATTGAACTTTCTTTTCTATGAGTTTGAATCTGATTTGTTTCTCTCATCTCCTAATCCTAACTCTAATATTCTTATCTCATTATCTTCTTGTTGTACTCTATCTAGAACTCTCAAAGAGTCATACTGTAATCATGTTTGCTAACTCTATAAATACATAAGTTGTTGGCCTTCCATGGTCACCCATTCATCTTGAGTTTATTCTATAGTGCATTATTTCTTTAACTTACATGATTTTGCAATGCTCCTACTTGCATGGTCACCCAACCCGTCAATTAATGGTTGGGTTGGGCGGGTTTGTGGATTGGGTTGAAAAACTGCCACTCCTACTTGCAGCTATCAGCTGTGAATGAGCATGTGTAGGCTGCATGGAGGTTGCGAAGTATTCTCCAACAAGAGTTTAATAAGAGTTTGAGCATCACTTTCTATAATAGCAGCTGAAATTCCCAGAGACTGGGTAAAATGAAGTGACTGAAGAAGAGTCATTGTTTCAGTAACTAAAGCTGAGTTGAGTGGAAGAGGGATTGCACAAGCATAGGTAAGATCACCTTGGTCATCATGGATGATACAACTAGCTCCAGTTCTAGTAAGGAAGGTATGATGCAGTACGGGATTCAGACCAACTAAATAAACATTTACAAAGTTGCTTTTGAAGACCCATCTTAGTATATATAGGGAGAGGATGGTGCACCACAGAATGAAGCTAATAAGTTCTATGCAAGTTGGGACCATTCCAAGACACATAAGAAGCAGGGATGACGCCACCAACCCAACTTAGTAAATATTTACTAATATAGCATCATCACAAAATTTCTATCATAGTTTGTTTTTACCAAGTTGGCGCTATCACAAAGTTTCTATCTTAGTTCATTATTACCAAGTTAGTATTATAGCAAGATTTCAAATTTATATTCAATTAGGGCTTTCCTTTTGAAGGGTTTTAGTAGGATTCTATTATGGAGTGTTTTCTTAGATTAGGATTACTCAATTAAGACTTTCTTTTTGAGGAGTTTTAGTAGGATTCTATTATGGAGTGTTTTCTGATTAGGAATATGAGCCATAAGGGTGTATGCCTATATAAAGAGTAGCTAGAGGAAGGCTAAGATAGTTTTTGATATTGAAATTTCTCTTAATTATTCAGTGAAGAATTCTTCTTCCTGGTAGTTCGATTTCTTCTCTTTTCTTTGAAGCTTTTCTCAACGTGTTTCATTTTCGTACTGCACCAATTGGTATCAGAGCTCATGTTTGTTCCTTCTTCGAATTATGACTCCTAAGAAGAAACAAGTAGCTCACATCATGGAGCAGAAACCCAACAACAAAATAAGGAGAGATAGCGGAGCTGAGAAGACAAGTCGATGCACTTGCTCAAGAGTTGAAATCACTAAGATGGGACAACGACTGACAAAAAACAGTGGGAAATGGGTTTCAATATTGAGATCCCAAAGTTTCATGGAGATTTCTCCACTTGGCAAGAAACCAAACTGGCTGTAGTTGCAATTGGTAAACAGAAGCGATGGGAAGCAGATCTCAAGTTTGAATTCCCGAAGTTTGATGGAGGCATATCCTCAAATGAATTCATGATCTGGAGTTCCACAGAGGAGTTATCAGTTTCAGGGTCAGAGGGTAAAATCAAATCTTATGACTTTGTTGATTGCTTTAATATTGTTGAGAATTTTTAGGAAAAGCTTATGTGGCCATTCTCCTTAACAACATCTATTGAAGAACAACATGTTGATTGGAACAAACCTCCAATCTATGATGAAGAACCTGTTGCTCAAGAAAAATATGTTATCCTTCATCATGATTTTCAAGAAGATGGAGACAATATTTATCATTCTAGAGGCTTTGATAGCATTGTCTTCATACAAGTCTATGAGGATCCATATTGGCAATCATTTTTGCAAAGTTTAGAATTGTCAATAAAGGGAGAACTAAATTATTTGAAGATCAACAAGTATGTTTCAAAAGTTAAGAGATGTAATGAAGACATTCCAATTTGTATTGTAGGGTTACACCACCAGTTGTCTCTTAGAAAGTTGGAAACAGAGAAGCACAAACAATGCACAATACACAATGTTGGAGGACTCTCACATGGTAGCATGAATTCGAGGACGTATTCTCTCTAACCCGATGAAGATGATGCAGTACATGATTCATACCAACTGAGTAAACATTTACAAAGTTGGTTTTCAAAGACCCATCTTAGTATATATAGGAAGAGGATGATGTAGTACATGAGAATGTCAATAAGTTCTATGTAAGTTGGGACCACCCAAAGACACATAAGAAGCTCTAATGACGTCACTAATCCAACCGATTAATCAATTACCAAGTTAGCTCCAACACAAAACTTCTATTCTAGTTCGAATTTACCAAGTTAGCGTTAGCACGGAATTTCTATCTTAGTTTGAATTTACCAAGATAGCGCTAGCACGGAATTTCCATCTTAGTTCAAATTTACCAAGATAGTGCCAGCATGGAATTTCTATCTTAGTTCAAATTTACCAAGCTAATTTCAGCATATGACTTCTATTATGGAGTGTTTTTATAGATTATGAAACTTTCTTGTAGGAGCCATAAGGGTGTATGCCTATATAAAGAGTAGTTAGGGAAAACCTAAGACAGATTTTGATATTGAATTTTCCCTTAATTATTCAGTGAAGAATTCTTCTTCCTATTAGTTCGATTTCTACTCTTTTCTTTGAAACTTTTCTCAACGTGTTTTGTTTCCGTACTGCGCCAATGTAGCACCATCAAAATTTATCTTTAAAAATCCATGAGGAAGTTTGGTCCAATGCTGCATAGATGGAGGAACAATAGGTTGAGAAGTGGAGATTGGTGGGGCATTAGATATAGATCTTGCTGATAGACATTGGTCTGCAAAATGGTATGCTCGTTGTAAAATGTAAGAAGGAGACCAGTTTTGATTGGTAAAAATCAGAGCATTCCTTATATGGTATCTTTGGCTAGTAGGGTTCAGCAATTGAACTTCTAATTCTAAGAGATATATGGATGCTTATCACTTCGTTCGTTAATGGTTTGTAGGATTAAAGGTTGTTCTGTTTTTCTTCCTTTTGTTTTCACAACAATTTTTCAGCTTCCTGTTTTAAGAATGCTTTCTAAAAAAGATTAAATTCAAAGTTGGTAGATATTGAGCAAGAATGTTCATGTAAAAGGTTGGTCGTGTTTAAGCCAATATAAAAGAGGGTGATTCGAAGGCTCCTGAGTTGTGGCCTGCTTTGGGTACTTTTCTCGTTGATCTATGGATAAATGGCTTTTCTTCTATTCGATGAGATTCTGTCCATTTCTTTCATAGCTCACCATCCATATGGGCTTGTGTGACCTTGGATGAATTAGGAAACAAGGTTTTTTAAATCGACCTAGAGACCGAACCAGTCAAGGTTCCGGTTCCTGGGTCGAATGGTTGGTCCGTTCTGACAAAAAAAATAATAAAAAATTTTAAAAAATAAAAGATGGTCAAAACCGTTGAACGGTTCGACCGCCTGGATCAATAGTTTGTTGACTAAATCAACAGTTTTTTTTTTTTTTTACACAAATCCGATTTTGGGGATAAATGGAACCGGTCACCTAAATGTTTCCTGGTTTTTCTGGTCTAGCAACGATAGCTATGGGGATATATGAGATTACCCACTAAATTTTCGAAAACAAAACCATACATCTTGTCGAATACCCCCTAATTTTTCTTTAAGGCCCGAATACCATCCTAAATTGTACTTGATTAAATTAGCTAGTGGATATGATGGAGAAGAGAAGGGTAGGTGTAATGCATTCGCTCTCTCTCTCTCACTCAACCTGGCTTTGGACTCAGTCTAGGTTAAAAGTGATGCCAATAAGAACTTAAGGCCCCGTTTTCATGTGAATAGTGGTCTAGAATTGGAATCAGAGTTAATGGGCTATTCCGATTCCAACTGTTGGGTTGGGCGGAATCGGAATCCCATTCCCATTTTTGCTAAAAGGTATTCCCCCATTTGAGGGATTGGCTATTACCTACCCCTCCCTTAAGAATGAAATTTCATTCCTGCAGATTTTAATTCCCATTTCCATTCCTATTTAAACCAAACAGATTATGGAAATGGACTATTCCAATTTCAAGGATTTTAATTCCGATTCTGATTCCAATTCTAAATGCAAACCAAATGGACCCTTAACGGATCTTCTCTGTTCCGGATAAGGTGAAGACTCCGTACAACTATTATTGAATGCAGGCATCTTACTTCCGGTTTCTCTTCCTAAAACCTTCATTCCACCATTCAAAATCCAACTACGATACCGAAAAGGTATAATTACTAATTAATAACAAATCAATTGGTATTCAATCAAATTCATATGATTACCCCATCCATCTAAATTCAAATTGCAATAACAGTAATAGGGATGCAAGCGCGGTCAGGTTAGGTCGGGTTGAGATCACCCCTATCTCAATCTCAACTGTTGGAGCTTTCAACCCCAAGTTTTTGGATTGGGTTGAACTGACTATTTCATTTTTACCAAGTATATTATATAGAGAGAGACATAATCATCATGATTTAAAAAAAAAAAGAAATTATACCATACAATTAAATAATAGATAAATAGATCCATAGTACTTATTATGGACCAACTTGAGCGGCTGTAGCTAGCCTTCAGAAAAAACGAAAAAAAAAAAAAGAGAAAAAAAAGAGCGGCTGTAGAGCCGTATACGGGTCCAGTGTGACCAGAGGTCCAGATCAGAACCAAACTTTTACCATTACCCATTACCCATTACCCATTAGGCATGGGAACACACCAACGGTTTTTTTCCGGAATGGTGGAAATATTTTCTTTACCAGTCGATTTCAGTCTTCCGTAAACGTTACGATTTCTTTATGTAGACTGTGGACTGTGGAGGTATAGCTTTAGACAAACAGAAAGTACTTAGGCTACTAACCATTATCGTTAATATCTAAAGACAATTATGTTACTAAACTGAAATGTATTGTTCCCAATAAGTATCCATCAGTTAAAAGAAGAGGTGTGGTGGTGCATACGCGCACCGTTCGCGCAAAAGGAAGATGTCCGTTTGTGTTTTTACTTATACTGTGTTTGGTTTGAAGGAAAAAGTAGAAAAGGAAAAGGAAATTTAAAGAAACTTTTACAAATCTTGTATGATTTTTTTTTTTCAACTTCTTTTCTCTATCATTTCCTTCAGACCAAACATAGCCTTAAAGTGTGTGAGGCGAAGGAAAAAGTATTTAAATTTCATTTGAAAAACATGTACAAGAAACAAATTGATTAATGGTTTGTCCAGGAATGGCAATTTTGTGGGAATTTTTGGGCATTCGACACATCCCAACCCTAATAAGATATGTTTATTAAAACCCTATAGGGTTTGGAATGGATTTGAGATTTTAGATTAAAACTCTATAGGTTTGAGTCTTAACTTTAGGGTATCCGATACCCAATACCCAATACTCAGGATGCATAAATATGAACCTATTATATTATATTTCATGTGCAAATTTATAAATATTAAGTATTAAGATAATTATTCTATTATTAATATTTTATTTGTATAAATTTCTTGAAATTAAAATCATCATTCCATGTAAATTTGAATTTGATAAATTATTTATTTCATTTAGTTATAAAATGTTAATTTTAAATATTATTTCTTTTAATATATATATATTGATTGTTTTAATGAATACAAAAATGAATAAAACTTATTTTATTTCATTAAATAACACAAAAGTGAAATGGGTTAGTGACTTAAAATAGTATAAAGAGATTTAGTATTATCATTAATTGATTTGGATTCAAGTCACATTATAAACATTAATTAATTTTTTTAGTAGAAAATGTTGGGGCGGGGTTTAACGTTGAAACGATCTGAACGGGTTTAATAGGTTTTATACATGGGTTCAGAAATGGATGGGGCAATTTGCACGCATACCTTAACAAAAATGCGAAATGGGTTAAATCCAAATGGCCAAAAAATAAGACCAATTCTACGCACGCTGTCACTTTCGTAAGTGGTCACATATTTCATGTTTGATAACTAGGCCCACTAACGCAACAATGTGGGGTAAAAAAAAAGTGGCTTGGGTCCACGGTCCTCGAACAAAGTGGTCCCAAGTGAGGCCCCATCTTCTTATCCCTCTCGCCCAGTCGCGCTTTATATAAGAAACCCCCGTCCCTCGTCCCTGCATACTTGTTCAGTTCGTCGTAATCTGATCTGCTTCCCTAGTCTCTCTCTCTCTCTCTCTCTCTATCTACAAAATCTTTGTTTGGTGGTTCTTGCTTTGTAACTGCCAGAACTGGCTAACTCATCACAGGCAAGTCTGGAGGAAGAATCCAGTATAAGGGTGGTCCGCGCCCTGTATGACGCCTTAAGTGGTCGAGACGTTGAGACGGTCCAGAGGCTTCTGGCATCGGACATCGAGTGGTGGTTCCATGGGCCCCCTTCTCACCAGTATATGATGCGATTACTGACCGGTGTGTCATCGGACGAATCCTTCGTATTTGTGCCCCTCTCCTTCGCGGCTTTTGGGTCAACAGTCCTCGTCGAGGGTTGCGATCAGAACCGTTTTGTCTCCTGGGTTCACGCTTGGACGGTCGCTGATGGGATAATTACCCAAGTCAGGGAGTACTTCGATACGTCCCTCACGGTCACCCGTTTTGGAAACTCGACCAAACTATCCCCATCGTCCTCGTCGATTCGCTTTCCCTGCATGTGGCAGAGCCAGTTTACCAAGGCTACGGGCAAGTCTGTTCCCGGCCTTGTGCTGGCTATTTGATTTTAATCAACCAAGTTCCAACGTAACTTAATTTATATAAGAAAATAAAGACGGTGGTGCAGCCCTCTCTGTTGGATCGGATGGGTTGAGACTTGAGAGTACCGTAGAACCGGTTGCATCGTAAATATGTAAGAGACTAGAGGTGTTTCCGTGTGACCTCGTTAGTTTGCTGTGTGTCTGTGTCTTGTTTCTTGTGTTTCTATTTGTTAGTTGGGGTTGGGGGTTTATAAGTAAGGGTCCTGATGTGTGAAGCGATGAGGAGAAGACATTGGTTCTCTTCTCATGGTCATGGCCATGGGTCCGTGTCTGAATCTGAGTCTGTAATATCGTCTTTGCATCTTCGTATAATAAAAGCTTGTTGTTGGATTTGTCTTACGAGTGTTGTGATTTGTAATTGTGCCTTATCTTCACAGGAGGGTATCCAAACTTTTGTTGATTTGATGATCAAGATTAGATAATAGCTATTAGAAATTAGAAAGAATCTGCACAACTCGCTATATGGTAGTCTCCAGATTTTAATCCACAACGCCGGGACCCCGGTGACTGTGGTAGGAGAGAGAGAGCTTGAAGCGACGCTGTAGATTTCCTAAAAACCATTAGATTGGAATCACCAAATATTAGATTCCAATTCCAGATCCTCTCGGTAAAACAAAACAAAACAAAAACTTGGCGAGATCGAGATTCGAGATGGACCAAAGTCCAAATTCGGGGTGGGGAAATTTGGCGACGGGCTTTGGGGGAACAAAACGAGGTTTGTGGCGTTTCTGTTTGGCAAGTGAAATCAGAGATGCTCGAGTCACGTGTACGGCGAAGATGTCTCCTGACAGCTAGCTTTTTTGTCCCGAATATTTATTGGGCTAGGCAGAGAAAAGTGTGAACACGTGTATTAGAGTATAAGATGACAACTGTCAAGGGAGTATAGACCCGAATGAAGCTCGTGTTTTTCCTGGTATAGTTTACAAGTCGAACACACCATCACTTCTTCTGGCTGGGGTGGGGTAGGGGTATATCTCGGTTTTTCTTGGGTTATCAACGGGGG